AGAAAAAGAGATTAAAAATAAGTCTGAGACCTAACTTCCAACAACTTAACAAACTCGTATTATATAATTAACACGTATGGTACTAAATACTTTTGCCAAATGAACATCAATAAAAAATTGCGAAATTGGGAAACACGTGCTTTGGCAATTTTTATTTTTGAAGTTTGATATGTGGTTGTACCTAACCTTAATTGAGCCCAAATCCCAAACTTGACTTTGATCTCTTTATTTCGTAATTTCGCTTCAAAAATTTGCAACATCGATTAGCTTGGCTTGATTTAAACTCAATCATCCCTTGAGGGCAAAATACGAGACATCTTTAGGGTATGTAAGACCGTATGTCGAAGGACTTGAAAGAATGGCCGTGTCTAATGATGTTTAAGAAGGGGCTTTAATTTTTCATTAGGACCACAGGGAACATCAAAGGGGTTCCTCGGTTTTTTAACCGATGCCTTCGGGGCTAAGTTCCCCGGGATACTGACGTCCCCATCGTTCCTCGGTATTGTCGTCGAGTTTTCGCCCAACTTCCATCTGAACCCTTCATCCACCACCCCCGAGACAACGTATTGACATTTCTTAAATATTACCGTACAGCCGTGTTCTTATTGGAAGACACGTCCTCTTTGTCGCCCTCTATTCGAGCATGGTCCCACACGTGGGAACCTGTGCCACATGGAGTGCCGTCCTCGGCACACATGCTTCGAAGAAAAGCAAACGGAGGGACACGGTCGATGACCCTCCGAAAAGTATCTCGAGAAGAGGAGAGCGTTTATTGTCCTACGATTAATGGACCTCCCAGACCGTCAGCTACCGGCAAGAACTCCTGGGTCACGTGCTTTTTCTTCGTGTCTACAGGCGGTTTTTCGATCAAGATCAAGGACTTCTTTTAATGATTGCGAACAATTTCATATCGTTTTAGGGACATACATATACCTCGAGGTTCTCTGAGGTCCTTGCTCAGAAGTTTGATTTAGTGTATAACGTGAATTAAATATTGACCGAAATTTTGAAATTTGATATGAAACTTGAAAGGCTCTATCCTTCTGGGCCCCCTTTTTTGTCACCGTTCATTTCCCAAATGCACTTAAGTCCACACATTTGGTTGACCCAGAGTCAATTTCAATAACCGGGCATAACCTCAAATCTAACCTAACCTATGTTCTATTTCAATCACTTTCATTCATTTTAACTCATTAGTACCCAAAAGTTGCAATTTTTCTTCTCTAGTATGCACAAGGCTGCGAAATTGTGACGCTTTAACGACTACTACCAATTCAGTCGTCGCCAATCGGCTACGCCATTTAATCAGATCGAAACAAAGAGCACTCTCTCATCTGTTCCTCTTTGCGTTTCTGCAGTGTACAAAAAGTGTCCCGAACAAAACACGAATTAGCATCGATGGTATTCTACTCTCGACGAAGAAAAAAAAAAAAGAGAAAAACTGAAAGCAATATTGGAAGGGGTGGGTGAGAAGATCGTAAGAGGGGTCGAACGGTATTCTCTTTCGCGACTTGTGTATGCTTCGAGTATTTCCCGCCGCATATTACACAGTACGTACCCGGGACTTAGAGCCGGTCGATATCTTAATAATAAATACAAGAGGGGTTCACCCTGATGGCTGGTTGGTGTGAGATTGAAGAAGGGGACTATGGGGAGGTGATTGGGGGGAGGGTTAGGTGGTGGTGAAACGGCGCCACGGTGCGATAAACAGAGACAGACTGCGATAGATAGGGTAGCGAGAACGAAGGAGGATACGAGGGGGTTGGCGGTGAGTTCAAGAGAACTCTGGGGGGGTTGGAGATCATTCGCACCTCGAGGTGTAATGAGAAAATTTGAAATATCACGACCGTCTCTTGCCTCCCGTCCCAAAAAAAAATGTATATAACCGCGCCGGTAGTCATAAACGGCTGATCCACCCTACCACCCCCTTGGTTACCCCACGGGAGATTATAAAGACGACTGGTGTAAGGCCTTCCTCCCTTTCTTGCCACCACATTATGCTACCATGGTATTCATGATGTTGACTACGATCTTGAGTACATGTATTTGTTAAAATTTGGTAATTTTCTAAATGTATGTATGTATTTATTTAACGATTTGATAATTATGTGCAGTCGTAATCAATGTCCATCGATAAGGAACGCTTTTTCGATCGAATAAAAATCTTTTAGAATTGTACATCTAGTTATGCAAAACAGGAAAAATATTTTTCACGGTTTGTATTTATAGAGATAAAAATAACGCATAATCGTGCAGCATTACAGCGTGTCAAAAGTGGTTACAAACGAAATGGCTGGTAGTATCACGCGAATATGGAAACTGAAACCGAAGCCGCGGTAAAACATGCCCGTAAAAGTAAGCGGTGCATTTCATGCTAATTAGATGTTCGTTTTAGTGGTTTGTATAAATTACTTTATTTGCCTGCTTCCGGAATGTCGCGATTTTTTCTTTCCTTCAAAAAAGAAGCGGGAGGGAATAGCGTGGCTTACGGTCGTTAGAATTTATTTCAACGACTCGAACACCATAGGAACGTGTTTGACTACTAAGAATGTACATTTTGCAGTCAAACTTTAGACGAAAATTAATAAATCGCTTGAAAATAAATTTAATTAATTTATTTTGTAAAATAAACTCAAACATTCCCAAACATTCGGTATATATATTTTTTTTTCATAGTTCTATATTAAGAATTCGTTTGAAGTTAATTTTCAAGATGTATAGTCCGTTCTTCGTCGAAGAGAATTTTTCTAAGGAAGCAGAAGTGGATGGGTGCAGGTCACATCGAAATACACATCGATCCCGCCGGAATTCCCGATGCCTCCCGAGCATTAGTCAACCGTCACGAAATAAATAGTAGAAAAGAACGGGACACGTTGATGATTCGGGGCTAAGGGTAAAAATAGAAAGTCGCGCGACGCCAGGGGGTGGGTGTACGAGCCGCGAGGGAGGCTGATCTATTCGGGATATTCTGCCGCCGGAACACAAAGAATGCTTGGCGTTTGACGGCCTCGACACCGCGCGTCGCCAGCTGCGACACTCGCATGCCGTGTGCTCGCATTCGCGCGCGTACACTACTACCACCAGACTAAGCACGCGTGGTCATTGTTGATAGATTGTTTCGTTTCAAGATTCTAATGACCAGAAATTGTTTAATTTTGAGATTCTTGAATAAAAAGATCAAAAATATTAATTTGCATGTCAATACAGTGTGCTTCTAAATTAGGTTAAATTAAGTGTCTTCCTAATTAAGGATACATCTACATTTAGGCTTAGGTATTCACGATCAGCAGGTAGAATACGTGAAAACCATCAACGGAAGACAGAAACTCGATCGATGCCCTGGCCGGTTGATCCGAAAGTGCGTGACCACCCGGCCTAAAAGCAGCCCCCTTCGAAGCAGGTTCTTGTACACGTCGGAACCGTGCAATGAGCCGCGATTCCCGTATATCGAATCGGTGAGTGGCGATCGATCGATGCTCAGAACACTGTGTGCAACTTGGATAACCGTCAATTTACGAAAGGGGTGTAAGACGAGAGTCGGACCCAAGACGAAGCGGCTAGGCTGTGATCGAACGCCTCCCTTCTGCTCTCAGGGTCGAAAGGCGACCACGTAATCGTTGCTGTCTGACGTTCGAATCGAACTGGATATTTTTAAATTACCTTTGCCATGGTTATGGGGGTTAAAAGGATAATATAGCTTTTAAAGAAAGAATCACCTTCGAATAGACGTTAATTCAAATAAAATTGGTCCAAACGATACTCCAGTAATTCACGTTAGAAATTAAGGTTCTTTCAAGCATACTGGATAGTCAAAGACGATTGAAGTAATCGAAAGAGTGGAAGATTCGTTCGAGGTTTCCGTAATCCGGTAACTTAAATTCTTAACAGCCGATTGTTGATAGAACAACGACAAAAGCAGCGTCGTTAGGAACGTTCAAAGAAGCCATTATCTTTCAACGACTTCCGCCGCTAATGTGACGATCGCGGGCGGACGATCTTTATCGGCGATCTTCTCAATCCTCTCCATCAGCCTCGGTTCTCTTCCCCGTCCCTCCCTCGCCGTTACAATCATCTAGTATAACGTGACAAATACGCAGGATGAGACTCGACAGCCTATCGATACTCGCCCGCCATTCCAATGAACGTGCATCGTGCACTCGGATATGTATTTATGCTTCCCGTATCATTTCGTAATTATCGATAACATCGTCAAGGCTTTTTGCAGGAAACAATGGGTCATTACTAACTCCCTCTTGTCTGCCTTCTTCTTATTCTACTTCTTCTTTTACGCCGTCACTTCTGTTTTCCCCTTAGTTCGTTTCTCTTTCAATACTTTAAGCACCACCTGATCCGTGAATGTTCATTTTGATTGTTCGACATTCTTTTTCGCAAATTTTTTGGGAATTTTAGATTAGCATAACGTGAACGTGTTTTAGTATATGGAAAGGTTGAGAAGCACTAGCATAGAATATTCCGTGTTACCGTGCGATTCCAATAGAGAAGTTGGAGTTACCATTTCGCGGAACGATCGATCAACTTCGATGCATCGAGCAAAAAACTGACGTGGACTTGTTGCCGACAGTACACGCGGTGTTCCGATACCTTGCCATCGAATTCGCAATTACTTTAATTGCTTCCAGATGCCGATTGATGGCTTAAACATATGCCGTGGCTATACAGATTGGTTTGAACCATTTCAAAGGGTGGGATGGGGTCGCATGTGTTTGTCATTATAGCGGAGCAATGATTTTATCGTATACGAATGTTTCCTTCGTTTCTTCCTCTCATTTCTCTTGTCCATTCCGACTAAGAAAGAGCCATTTTGTATCAAGAATATTGATAAAATGTCGGTACTCGACACAAGTGCCATTTTTTAATTTCTCTAGAAATTAGCGTTAATGAAACATTTAAAAAAGACACGTTCTAATCATCTGTAGTTTTAAAATTAAGTAGAATTTCTTGTAATCGGTTGATCTAATATGGCGTATGTTTGTTTTCAGAGGGCGACACTGGCGGAAAAAGAAGTGTCCGCGTTGAAGGAGCAACTAGCCGCCGCGAACGACGGCAATTCGAAGACTGAGGGACATAAATTGTCTCAGACACCACAGGGAAGCGATCAGCAGCAGGTACACGATGCCAGCAATCCCAGGAGGACGCCGAACAGCAACCTGGAGCAGGAATTGCAAGCGAAGGACAAAGAGGTAAGTCTCAAATTTTCGAGAATTTCATGAAATTAATTGTGACCGGAGAAGCCGATACTAATTATTCCTAGGGATTAATAATTCAGTGTTACTTCATATTAATTTTGAAAATAGATTCCTTCGACATATGTAGACAGCACCCATTTTCTCCGAGTATAGTCTTTGAAGCGTTAAAGTATGAAAAGTGGCCAATAGGGTTAACACGTTCGATTCTCACCCCTCATGATTCTGTAATTCTGTTGAACTGTTGCACGTGGAGGTTTCCGGTGCGTGCGCGTCGAACTGAATGACTGACGTACTCGATAGAGAAGGCACGTGGTTACCCTCCCTCATCCCCTGTTTCACTGCTTGTCTCTCCCTCTCTACCCCATCCGTATTTTCTCAGCGGATCGTACGCAGGAAGCACGCGCGCACCAGCCGGTGGAATTCACCCCCTACACACCCCGTCCGAGTGCACTTCACCTTCCCGATTCGCGATAAACGGCTCGAATCACGCTTTCGGTAGGCAAAGTGTGACTAATGGCAGTCGGCGAACCGACGGAATTGGTAATGAAAGAAGATCATAAATAGGAGTCGGTGTATCGATGAATATTCATGCGGCGCCAAACGAGGAGAATCTCACTGGAGATTCCTTTTTCTTTTTTTTTTTCATCGACGACAATTTGACAGCGTTGAAACGAGACCGTGATGAATCGAATCCAGATTTGCTTTCAATTTTTATTCCCATTGATTGAAATCACCTAAGGACTCGTGACAAATTGATGATTCTAGGGGCGGATTTAACCCTTTGAGTGCGCAAGAGGCACACGGGGTAGCCACAATAATTATTTTAAAAAATATTTTTCATACAACACTAAAAAAAAAAATCTTCTTTTCCCTTTTCAATAATTAATGTAATAGTATTGTTAAGCTGTATAACACAACATTTCACAACGAGTTTCAATAGAATATTTATTTACGTGAGTGCTACTTGATTCCAACGAAACGGTGCGTAAGCAGGAGATTGATACAGATCCACGAATGCATGTTAAACTAGATCCTTATCTAACACGTGATCGCTGATTTAGCAATCTTTGCCCTTTTATCTTAATTACACGGCTACGTCGTCAATTTCTCGCGATATCGTGCACCATTTTTCTTTTCGAAACGTAGAAGCATTAAACCGTTCTATGCTTTTCATTTAACGATTCATTTATTTATTTAACAAGCATTTTTTAAATACGAATAAGCTAGCGAACTGAAAGCTTGAAATTTGATATTTAACTATTATATCTCGAAGTGCCATTTATTGTATACTTTACCCTCCATCTTGAACGTTGTGTGACTTCTTTCATAATTTACAATTAAAAGCAAGTTTTCAGTGATTTTTATTAAATAAAAAGTGCTAACCACTTAATTATAAAATATCTTCATTACAACAAATATAATTTAAAAAAGACTTTAATGACGATACTTGTCGAACAACAAGTTTCTATTTTTAATTTATTTCAATAAGTGAACAGATAAGAAAAGTTCTGCTTTCCTGGCCAGTACTTCAGACAATCGGAAAATCTTCGCAAACTCGAATGTCCTCGATATAAAATGATGACTTCGCGTTATTTATAACTGAAATACGTCAGTCGCCGTGGTAGAAAGCATTTAACTGTACTTTTCACGAATCTGCTTTTTAAAAGATACTCTCATGGGAACAGGAACAATCATCTATTCTGCTGTAATTGAAAACTTTCCTGCTATTGACAAGCAAGAAGAATGATTTCGATTACATTCTATGTTTAATGAATCAGCGAAGAAGTTAAAGTAAAATGAGAATATTGAATTTGAAAATAAAAAACTTTTCTTGTTTCGTAGAAGTACCTCCAGAACCCCGAAAGTAGGGAATTATCGAACAGTTGCTGGAGACGCAAATCCCTATCAATTGATTTCTCATCGTCGGCACAACCATTAATACCCACCCCCCTGTCCGCCGAAGATAATCGAACACCAACTCCTTCCCCGGCAACGTTGTCGCATTATTTACTCCTCATTATCGTGTCCGGGCCAGTGGCCCATCTACGGTGTTCCCCTTCACCATTTCCACCCCTTAATCGGGAAATAATAAAAATCATCCCCGTCGCGTTCACGATGGCTTCTCGATAAAGACATTGTCCGCGAAGTAAATTCTTATCCGTGAAAAGGCGTCGTTGTCGTTCAAAAGAAGGGAGTTGTAGTTGTTTCGTCCACCCCTTCGATACGGGGTGGAAAAAGGAGTCACGAGAGGAGGGTGGAGGGGGGAGTGGATTATCGGCTTCGAGATTACAACAGGCTGAAGCAAACGATTTCCTTCGAAATACGGGAATACCGTAGTAGCAGCCGGTGCAAAGTGGCGGTGCAAAGGGATTCGAGGGTGGAGAAAAGGGGGTGCGGCATTATTGGCTCTAAGCAGGATACTTATTGAACTCTTAGCGGTGTTTTTATCACTCCTTTCTCGCGAGCGTGCGCCGCTTTTAAGTGTTTTCGCCTTTGTTTAAAAGATTTGCTCCCGTGCCGCTCGCATTATGCACCCCTCCTCGTAGGGCGCAAGAGGTTCTTACAAGACTCTCAGCTTCGTAAACCGTGAGTGAAGGGTTTGACCATTTTGTGTCCTCCTTTTTCTCTTTCTTTTATACCGACAGAAATGTAGGAAGGGGTAACTTTGAGATTTTTGAGACGTATCATTTTTAAAACGGCTGATATTGATATAACTTGAATATAACAAAGCATCGTAACCTCGCCCAGGCAATTAAGACCCCACCGGCTCTAGAATCGTCTGTGGCCTCGGTAAATGATTGACAAGCGCATTCGCGACACTAGTCGCCGAAGTCTTTGATCTGTACAAGGAAAAATTTGAACAGATTCAGGACGAGTCATCCTGGTTGAAACGAGCTCGCAATTAGGCTGCTAACGACTTCGAGCGAGTGCGTTTTCTCGGTTTCCAGGCGCGTTTCACGCGAGTCGAAGAGGCTGGCATCGTGGAGAGATGAAAGAGAGACAACGCGCCGCCGATGCCAACACAAATACGCTCGGCGAGTGTTTCAAAACACGTTGGCTAATGTACGGAGAGCGATAGATCAAGAAATAACCGAGAACGCTATTTGCACTCCTCCTAAGACGGTGAAACAGAATCTTTGTAACTACGAGACTTCCTGCATTATCGGGACATCCGTCACTAGATTGTCTTTCTTCAAAATACATGGCTAAAAAGAAATTGACGGTACGTCCCCTTTTGTTTTAAACACGTATTCCTTCGGGGCAGAAGGTTTTATTGGAAACATTTGATCAAAAGAAGAGGTTAAAAACCTAAATAGAATTTAATTTTGAGGTTATGACAAATGGCGCTATAAATGTACTGGTACGCCACATGAGTTACTGGCCATTTTTGGTACTAGCATCCTTCTTTGTCAATGTCACAGTGCAAGATATATAGCTTTCTTTTAATTAATACTTTCTATAATTTCCAATTGAGTGTCATCTTAATTCATCATATGTCATATCCTCGCACCTGTTTAAGCATCGCAAACAACGCACCGCCCAAATAACTGGTCCCAATGCTCGTCTCCATCTTAAATCTTCGAACATTCTACCAGCACATTGTGCATCTATTTTTATCAATAATTACCATCAGCGTCGGTCACGTGGACGACGAAGCCATCGCATCGCGAAGACATCGATGGCACGGCCATGCTGTTAGCGCCGGTAGGCCAACCGCTTGTCCCTGCCACGATATTACCGTATTTGCTCTGATACGAAGATTTGCTGATAATTGGCGCGATAAGAGGCAATCGAGTGCGCAATTCACATCGCAACGATCGCTATGGACGGGACGACGAATTTTATCGCTTGGTACCCGAGCCCGAGCACCGTGAAACCGATTGTTGTGAAACGGATTACAAGCCGACTGACAGATCAGTGGGTGAATGGAGAAACCGAGGCTTTCACGGTTACGTAAGACTCTCCTCATCGGGAAAATCTTGACTAGCGAGATCTGGCCCGTCACGATTTCAGCGAATCAAGATGGATTTCGATGAAACGGTCTGGGTCAGTCCGACGGGATGGGCTAGTTTCATTCCTCGATACGAGGAAGGAGCATAATCTCGAACAAACATTAACACCGACTGCAAAATAGAATGTTCAAACTTTCTGTAAGCGTATTTTTCTGTGAGATAACGAAACGTTTTCTCTCAAAACGAATTTAGGTTATTTCTTATCATATTTGTACGGATCGCTGTTAAACGAGTAAACAATTAATTAACAGCGCCATAAATTTGGATTTTAAAATCGATAACGTCAAGAGATTCGTCGTTTCTGCCGTACTGCTACAACATTTTATAAATTTCAAGATTAATTTAACAACAATATTTGTCATTTTTCTTGAATTCCACGTAGATAATATTGGAAATAAAAAGTGAATAATGTAGGGAGAAAAGGGCAGTTGAATTCGGGTAAAAACCTAGGAATATTTGCACTCAACCGTAAATGATGCGAGTCAGAGGTAAAGCCTGACGGAAACAACCAATATCGTTAGATATTCATTCCGTAAGTTTCAAGTAGAACAAAATATAGGAACTGGCCAGAACAATCCCCTGCCTTTGTTCGTTTTTTTGCATCCCTTCTCCCATTTAGATGTTAGCCAACCTGCAAGCCAGTTCTCTTATCTGTGTAACCCGTGAAATTGCGTTCATAACGAGAACCATGCATATGTTTTAGACAAAGACAGTTTTACTGAATCGTTTTCAACCCTCTTACATTGGATACATAGCTATTTTGATCTAAAGAAATACGGAAAATTTATTTCCATAGTGATTTTGTACAAACAAAATGGACATCTGTCCGTGCAGATTTTTAACTCTTTGTCTCATCCTTTTTTTGTATGCGGACTAATATTTGTTTCGTAAACATTTATACGTAAATGTGCAGTAGGCACATTCATCTCGTTTGATTATTACGAACTGTCCTCTTGAATAAATGCAATTTATTCAACAATT